TAGTATAGACAGGGGACCACTGCCAGAGTGGCAGGGAAGTCGAAGGTAGCTAGTACTGCCTCTCCAAGTATAGCAGAATTAGAGAGAAGGACACCGTCACCTCCATGTGATACTTAGGTGTTGCTCATTCTTTGGCAAACAGCCTTGGTCTTACTCAGATAACCATGATGCTGTTTCCCCTGCATTTGTGTGACCATATCCAACACCAAGACACCAAACGCAATGGACTCATCCACTAATCTTCCCTTCAAAAATGAGTGTGTTAACAATAAGCTTTCCTGGAATTCTTAATTCCCTTCCTTGTAGGTCCATGGCACTTAGCTTATATTTCATATATGACATATCAGAACAGTTCTTGCTGTGTAACTCCTTGAGTCCGTGTTGGTCTCATCACTAGAATAAGACTTCCCAAAAGGGGCAGTTTATAGAGGACATTTTATACTATGTAGGGTGTTGCTTTTTTCTTTTCTTTTCTTTTTTTACTGTCACAATTTCTGGAGACATTGCTGGCACTCAAATGACAGAAGACAGGGAATCAGTGACCTACAACGTTGAGAGTGTCCCACACATCAGACACTGTCTCTGTTGCTACCTAGGGTTCTCGGTAAGGAAGATGGGAGATACACATATGTACTGGGAAAAGGCAAGGAAGAACCCTGTGGGGATGAAGTAGAATGAGGTATTGGTATAAATTCATTATTTCTAAAATATGTGCAACTGCACATCCCCTAACAATGTTTCAGTCAAAGGTGATGTATATGACAGTGGCTCCGTATGATTACATCATATGGACTAGGTGTGTAGCAGGTATACCATCTCGGCTTGTGAAGTGCACTCTATGAGGTTTGCACAATCACCTAACTATGCATTGCTCAGCTTTGTTGACTGAATGGACCAATAAACAGAAATACCACAGTAACAAAAGGATGCCTAGTACTTAAACCTTGATTTCTAATACCATTCCTCACTGATAGGAATCAGAGGTCCTGAGGAAATTGTTGATTCCAGAACTGGAGGAGGAAAGATGCAAGATGGGCCAGGAACACCTTGCTTTGTGAGAAAGTAAAGAAGTTATAAAAGAGGTGTGTGGGGGCTAGCAGGTAGAGTGGTGGTGAAGGTGCTGGATTCCCATATGGCCAACTGTGGTTCAAGCCCCAGACCTAGTGGCTTGAAACTTACACTGGGCACTTGTGCGTGCCTCAAATTTCAAAAGAATGGAGAAGGGATTGCAGCGTGGCCATCCCACCCAGGGAGTGATTTCTCACTTTCTCTGTCTCTCTCAGTCTCTCCAGCAAGCACGTATGCCCTATAGCAAAAAAAAAAAAAAGAAAAAGAAAAAAATCTCTCTAAGAGAAAAAGAAAAGGTGTGTGTTGGGGAAGGAAGCCAGCTAGAAAGGGTAGTTTCTACCAAGCCAAACCTGGGACAAATGGACCTCTGAAATAATTAAAAATTGTAACGAGTCAATAAAAAATCCACAAATTGACAAGATTTAAACATAAAACATAATTAATAGACAAAAGAGAGACACAGTAGAGAAGGACGAGTTCTTGCTTATAAAAGAACACTGAGCACCAACTATTGGGGCATCAGGAAAGTCATGACACAGTCTTGCATGAAAATCAGTACTTTATTTATTTTTTTGGAGCGGTTTTGCCATAGGGCAAGTGCGCTCGCCAGAAAGAGAGAGAGAGACAGAGAGACAGAAAGCAAGAAATCACCCCCTGGGGGTATGGCCACACCGCAATTCCTTCTCCTCCATTGTACTCTCGGGATCTTGGACATGCACACACATGCACCTGGCGTGAGTTTAAACCACCAGGTCTGGGACTCGAACCATGAGAGTTCAGCGACATAGCCATTACGCTAACTGCTGGTCCCAGAAAATCAGCACTTTTGAGTCATCACAGTAAAGACTAATTCAGGCTAGAAGCATTAGTGAATGTAAAATCTAAGAGGAAATTTTGATAAACATCATTATGTCTGCATTATATTAAAGTCTCTCCCCACAGATAACCTCTAGTCAGAAGGAAGAGAAACAAGCACGCTTCGCTAGGTGATCAAAGCTGACGTCAACACCAGTGAAGGTATATTCAAGTGTGCCCAGATGTCCATCCTGACAGGGACATAACATCACTGAAAGTATTCTGGCTGGGGAAGCATCACCTAAGTCTAATCAATAAGAAAGAGAACAAACCCTGAAGAGAAAATATTTTATTAAAAAAAAAGAGAAAGTGACTGATTTTTCTTTTTCTTTTCTTTTTTTCTGGAGAGGTTTTTGCTATAGGGCGCGTGCGCTCGCCAGACAGACAGAGAGAGACAGAAAGACAGAAAGCGAGAAATCACCCCCCAGGGGGTATGGCCATGCCACAATCCCTTCTCTGCCATTCTCCTCTTGGGATTTTGGGCAAGCACGCACATGCGCCCAGTGTGAGTTTAAGCTACTGGGTCTGGGACTTGAACTGGGGTCGACTACGTGGGAGTCCAGCGACATAGCCATTACGCTAACTGCTGGTCCCATTTTTTTTTTCTTTTTCTTTTTTGAAAGTGACTGATTCTTAAGAACATGACAAGGTCGTAAGAAATAAAGAATAAGGAATTATTTCAGATCAAAAAGGATTAAAGAGATTGGCAACTAAATGTAATATATGATCCTAGACTGATCCCGTTTTAGGAGGAAGAAATGGTATAAAGGACATTATTTGGTCCGTTGACAAAATAGAAATATGAATAAAGTATTACATAATGTTAAAATTACTGAAGTTTGTAACTGTATTATGGCTATATAAACAATATATCTTATCTCAGGTAAAGTACACTGAAGTATTCAGGCTAAAAGGCAATAATGTACATAGCACATTATCAAATAAACTTTAATTCCATTTTCCATTAGTTTTTTGAAGTTTCCTCATGTCTAGAGAGAAAAAAATGAGAAGTAAAAACAATTGAATCAAAATGATAATAACAAAGAATATGGGTCAATAAAAGCTCATTGCAATTTTTTGTAAGTTTGAAAAATGATTTCCAAATGAAGTTTAAAAAATCTGCCCTACATACCATGCCATCTGGGACCCAGTAGACAATCACATGACTAAAAGCCCTGTTTATAATTAATGGAACTAATTCTATTTTACATATAAACACAAGTACATTTTTTTATAATTGAAAATAAAGTGTACTTTCCATAAATGTAACTTCCATATCAATTGAGGGAGGACAGACCATTAAATCATTTAGAACTTTACTAATAATTCTTCATTTTGTAATAAAATTATGTCATTATGATAATGCCACACCTAGTATTTGAATGATCAGTAAATCACATCTTCCATATTTCTATCTTTCATAGTCACAGTGATTCTACATTAAAGTGTAAGCATCTAGCTACTTCAGTGTTTCTTAGCATAATTTTGCTCAAGCCATTTATTTGGAATTGACCAGGGGTCAGCTAATACAGGGGTTGGAGGTCCCAATGCCCACACAGTCAAAAAATCACATATAATTGTTTTTGGTTTTTTTTGTTTGAGAGGTTTTTGCTATAGGGCGCGTGCGCTCGCTAGACAGACAGAGACAGAGAGACAGAAAGCGAGAAATCACCCCCCAGGGGGGATGGCCATGCCGCAATCTCTTCTCCTCCTTTCTCCTCTCAGGATCTTGGGCGCACACGCACATGCGCCCAGCATGAGTTTAAGCCACCGGGTCCGGGACTCAAACCGCAGTTGACTACGTGGGAGTCCAGCAACATAGCCATTTATGCTAACTGCTGGTCCCTCACATATAATTTTTATTCCCTTAAAACTTTACAGTATCTAGGGGAAAAAATGGAGAGGTAAGGCATTTGTGAGACGCAGATATGGTTTATTATCTGTTGATGAGGATGTGCGTCCATTCTCAACTGGGCTGGACTTAGGTGTGTGTCATGCTGGGTAAAGTCTCTTTACAATCTAAATGATGTATAGTGATTAAATGTATAAATAATTAAAATTAATAAAAAATATTAAAAAAACTTTACAATATCTTACTGTTGCCTTGCCACTAACATAAACAGTCAATTAATACATTATTTTGTATGTTACATGTATTACATATCAAATTATCAAAATAAACTAGAGAAAAAAATATTAAGAAAATCTTAAGGAGGAGAAAATACACTTATGGTATTTATTGAAAAAAAAAGAAAACATATATAAGTGAACCTTCAGAGTTCAAACCTGTGGTTTTTCTCCTTTGTATCATGGTAAGGGAATTATACTGATTTTTTAAAAATGTATAGATATATTATCTAAGAATTTAATTATCACCACTGGAACTGATACAAAAATTACAATAGTCTCAAAAACAATCACCAATCTGTTTACTTTATCAATGTTCTGGTGATGTTATATATATATATCAAAGGACAGACAGAACCAAAAGGCTAAAGTATGTACATTTTTAAAAAGTGCTCACTGGGCCAGTGATTTACTTTAGGCCTTGGTATTGTGTAACAGAAAGGTTGCTGTCTGTGTTAATATGACATAAAATGGGGAAATAGAAGTCTACTGCCTGGGAAGATGTGAGCCCGCTAAGTTCCCTAAGAGGCTTTACACAAGATTCACTTTGCTTTCAAACCTATTACCTGGTAACAAAAGTCAACAAGAACTTGAAGACCAACAGAGGAATTAAGAAAATAAAGAGATGGACGATAAAAAAGAATGAAAGTGTAAAATATAAGATGCCATAAAAGAGGCAAGTTTCTTGAAAACTGATAAAAATGGACAAAAAGAAACATGAAAAAAGAATACGGCAACTGTGAAGGCAGAAATGAAATATTAGAAATCTACAGGAGAGCGAAAATGATGTTGCCATATGTAAAAGTCTAATTCTTTTTAAGACTTAAAGTGGGCATATTTTAATTAGATAATCATAAAAGCATCATTTCATATATACTTCATATGAGTACATGATGGTAAGATATGAAGCATCTGAAAATGATACATACAACAGTCTAGTAGGTACATACCAAGGTGACAGTGCTCTTTCTCTCTTGCTTCCCATTTCTGGCTGTCCACATATGCTGCAGAAAGCAGGCATCTTTTACCTGGGGAAAAGGACAATGTCTCAATCAGCATGGCTTGCAGTAGTTTTATTTCATATATATGTTCTACTCATATCTTTTTCATATTTTCAACTACTAGATTACATTTCTGGCTATAGATTACTAATATTTAAAATTCTAATATAATCGCAGAGTTCACAGAGCAGTTCACAATAAAATGCATTCAACCTCTAACTACTAGAAGGTGTAGAATAATTGAAAATTTTCACAATAATTTTATGGGTAAAAACACTGGTAATTTGTTCCTGTAACTTTAGCGCTAGGAAGGATTTGTTGCTGCTAAAATGATAACCCAAGTGAACATCTTTGAACAAAAAAAACACTTCCTGTGCTGTTGCTTAATCTTCACTTGAATGCCTTATAATTATTCATGAGTCCTAAAAACATTTCCAGGTAGCATATTTACCCCTATTTAACATAACACATAGTATCTTACCCCATGACCCAGCATCTAGTTGTAAATAAGAGAAATTCAAGCCAAATTTGAGGTAACAAACAAAATGGCACAGCACTGGGCACAATGCTAGGCATATGGCAGTCTCAAACAAGAGCTCTAGTAATAAATGAGAAAGAATGAATGGCATTTTCTTCAAAACTAAAAAGACTTTTTTTTTTTGAGAGATTTTCGCTATAGGGTGCGTGCGCTCGCCAGACAGACAGAGAGAGACATTAGAGACAGAAAGTGAGAAATCAAACTAAAAAGACTTTTACTTCAAAGGAAGTTCTCAGGAATGTGAAAGAACAACCCACAGAATGGGAGAAAATTTTACACATCATTTATCTGTAAGGGATTTGTATCCAGACTACATAAATAATTCTTACAACTCAAAAACAAAGAAAGATGGACAAAGGATCTGAAGAGATGTCTATCAAACACAGAAAAAAAAATAATATATGCAAAACAAAATCACCTGGAGACACCACTTCATATCCACTGCAATTACTATAATCCAAAAGCAAATAATGATCAGATGTAGGTAAGGATGCAGAGAAACTAGAATATTAATACATTGCTCAGGACCAGCAGTTAGCGTAATGGCTATGGCGCTGGACTCCCATGTAGTTGACCGCGGGTTGCATCCTGGACCCGGTGGCTTAAAACTCACACAGGTGCAGGTGCGTGAGTGCACAAGATCCCGAGAGGAGAATGGAGGAGAAGGGATTGTGGCATGGCCATCCCCTCGGGGGGTGATTTCTCGCTTTCTGTCTCTCTGTCTCTCTTTGTCTGTCTGGCGAGCATACAAGCCCACAAGCAAAAAATAAATAAATAAATAAAGTACATTGCTGGCAAGAACATAAAATGGTACAGCTGCTTTGAAAAAAACTGCTATGTTCTCAAAATGTTCACATGGAGTTAACATATTACCTATGTGCTGGATATATTTGAGTCACCTTTTTTTTGAAGAATTATTTTATGTATCTTTATTTTAATGTGACCAGAATGAGAGGGGGTGGGGAGGGTGGGAAAGTGAGAGAGCAAGCCGCCAGGTCTGGGATCAAACTACAGTTGGCCATGTGGGAGTCCAGCACCCTAACAGCCACATCGCCTGCTGGCCCCGAGTCACTTTTTGGGCTCATCTCAGTTAATTTTTCTCTCATTCTCTTGATCAATTTAGCTGTCCTCCATTCTGTTGGAGGAGGAATCAAGAGCACCAAAGTGTTCCAAATATTGATTTGTCATGGATTTATATAAAGTAGAGAATTTTCCTTCTCTTTTCCTGATCAACATGTTTCTATTAAGTCAAGCTCCTTATTAGCATTCCCAAATCCTGAGTGGTCCATGCTAATGCTCTATCCTATGTATTAAATCACGTTCCTCCTAGTTTCCAGTTCCTGATTCCAGGGCTCCTTTGTCTATGGTCTAACTTAGAGTCTATTAAATATAACTTTCTGCAATGATGAACACATTCCATTCTGAGCTGTCCAATACAGTAGCCATTAGCCACCTGGGTCTACTGAACACTTAATATGTAGTTAGTGTAACTGAGGAACTGAATATTTGGTTTCATTGAACAGCCACATGTGCTAATAGTTACCATTCTACTGTTCATAGCGCAGGTATAACTTGCCACAAGTTTATTAGTTCAACATTTCACTACTTTGTTTTGTTTTGAGAGGTTTTCGCTATAGGGTGCGTGCCCTCACCAGACAGACAGAGAGAGACAGAGAGTTAGAAAGTGAGAAATCACCCCCGATAGTCACGCCGCAATCCCTTCTCCTCCATTCTCCTCTCGGGATCTTGGGCCCGCATGCACATACACCCGGCATGAGTTCTAAGCCACCAGGTCCTGGACACGAACCGCGGTCGACTACATGGGAATCCAGCGACATAGCCATTACGCTAACTGCTGGTTCCCAACATTTCACTACTTTGAAGTAAGACTACTAACTGGCATTGTTTCAATTCAGCCTTACCAATTTCCATTTCCTTGATAGAATGACTGTTCCCTAAAACATTCGATGCAGCCACGATATTCTCCTTGATCTACTATTCAGGGTCTTGTTTGGACACTCATAATTAAAAATGTAAATAATAGCTACTGCAGCTCATTCAAACTGAAGAGCCAAGCACTGTGTATACCACTTTGCCTAATGTGTCATGTTCAACATTTCTGCCAGCTAGATCAACCACTTGGTCCTCAGAATATTTCTGGTGGCCAACTATGAAGTTTCATAGTGATGTTTAATGGCTGTTCCTAAAAATATGTGAACAAGAGTATGTGTGTTGCTTTTTCTCTACAGGGGTTAGGGAAGGTAGGTTGGAAAGAGGATCTAAGAGGCACTGGTACACCGAGTGTGATTGTTGGATATAATCATATAATCAAATCTGTCCATATTATGGGATCAAAATCTTGGAAATTTAACTTCCCTAAATAGTTTAAAACAGTTTTCCACTTTTTCCCTCATCAGATCTACTAAGCTAGCTTTGAGAGGGATGCCATTTACTCAGATACCAAAAGAAACTCAGGAGTAACTCAACATTAATTGCTTATACATGGAAAACTATAGCATAGAGAGGTCATCAAGATTGTGCCCAAGGTCATCAGGTCAGTGAGATTAATGTTGCAAAATCCTTTCACGAGGTTAAGATCAGGGGTCCAGGCAAGTGTGAGCTGTGGGAAAAACATTTATCCAACGCCTCTCCAAGGAAACCAACCTCAGAAGGGAGAAAAATGCCAGATAGACACGTTTGGTTTTTTCATAATCAGCAAAAAAACGACCACCCTAACTCATAAACCCAGTAAATCATACGCAAAATTCCTCATGCCATAACCCTCCTCTGCTCTTCAGACCTTCAGGTACTATCTTCGAGATCGGTCAGAGACCTTAACTCCCCTTTCTGTGCTATCCACGACCCCGAGTGGCTTCTCTAGCAACTAGATCCTAGAAACATGTCCTCTCTACGTGAATGCGTATCATCTTCTCACCAACGAAACAGTTACCAGGGGCCTAACGAAGCAGCCCCAGCCACGCAGCAGCCACCGACCTGCCGGGGAGAGATGAGACAGAGCCAGTTTCCGCGCCAGGAGCGCCCCGCGCCGCACTGTGGGAGCTGCCATCTTGGAGCGTGCCGAGCCGGGCGGGGACAGACAGGAGGAGGGGCGTGGTCACGGCGCCCCGCCCCTCCCGACTTCCGCCGTCGGTACCGCCCGGGACAACATGGCTGTCACGTTTCGGCCGGTTCTGCTGCGGGCGCTGCGAATTGCGCTGTATTCCGCGGTAGGGGGCTCCGGCTCCACCTGCTGCCAGTGCCCTCTCGGAGGTATCTGCGCTTCCGACCGTGGAAGGAGGGGAAGGGTGGGAGGGAAGGGAGAGTCAGAACCCAGCAGGCGTCTCTGCAGAAGAAACAGCGCTCATGCACTCCCTGGCTTGGAGCATGACCTTACCCTCTGTGCATGGGGAAAGCTGTGGACCCTGGGGGTCGCTGACGGCCCCAGTGCCTGGAAACCGAAGGATGACTGGGATCTTGACGTTAGGACTGTGGTTGAGGATGGAAAGACATTGCTCTCCGAGAACCCCTCTCCTCCCTTGGGTATCTTTTGCTGCAGAGTTTGGGAGCAGAGGTCCCTTCCACTGTGTTGCTAATAATCTAAAAGATCTTGAGCAGATTTCCTAATTTTCAAAATCATCCCTTAGCATCTTTATGAAAGGAATTAAATTGGAAATTGATAGTGAGTGATAATAAAAATATTAAGCAGTTTGTGTAGGGCTTTTTCGAATGTATTCCCCATACATTAATTCCTTTCCAAGCAACACCCAATGAGGTACTCTTTTATCCATTTACCGAGGAAACAGCAAGCTTAAGTAAGTTGCCCAAGATCAGAGACGGGGTATGCGCAAGGTCAAAAGTGAAGGCCTAACTCTTCACTGCTTTTCTATAAATAGCAATTTTATTGTTACCTTGTTATTTCAGCGTACAGAACTCTTTCAGGTGATTCTTTGGCTAGACTTCATCCATTTTACCTCAGGTACAGCTAATGATACTAAAGAAAGGATGTTTCCCAAACCCTCTAAACTGAGATCAGGGACTTATGATCCATCTTCAGGATATGCAGAGTCCAGATCTTGGAGGTGATAACCCCTTTGTTTCACAAATGGCAAAACTGGGAATTCCATTGGTCCCACTATTTCCACTACACTATAAGAGGTGAACTTCAAAAAATTCAAGGAAAAATGAGATTAAAATATGAGTTTATTTTGGTGCAAAATGTTTTAGAAATTCATGCATATTGTTTTAATAATATGTGTTTTCCTTGAAGTTTTTGAAGACCTCCTTTAGATAAGCATAAACTAGATATGCCTATGGATTTTTAAAATGCCCTTATTAACCCTTAATATGACAAAATGCCCATTTGTCCTTTAAATGCCAACTTCCTGTCAAACAGTCCCCATATACAGTTAATCACAAGCTCTTTCACAAAAACAAGGCCTTTCTCACTGGAGATTTGCATTCTCTGATAGTTTAGAGATTTTTTTTTAATTCGTATTTGTACCTGTCTAGATGGATCACTTATAACAGGTGAAGATTAGATAAGTTAATTATAAGCAATCAGGCTTTACTTGTATTATTTGCTAAGTATAAAACAAAGTGATATTTTTTTTCTCCACTTTATAGCTAAAAGATACCTACTTACAGATGATACTGTGAAACTGAAAGAATTTCAGCGTAAGAAGGTGGCTGTTGCACATAATCTTCCAGGCACCAGAGGTAATAGAATCTCATTTTGTTCATTCTTTCAGCAGTCTCATTCAAGTTTTCTGTCTTTATCCCTATACAGTCTCTCCTTCAACCACCTTATTATGTCTCTAAGAAAAAAATCGACACCATTTATTCTTAGTTTCCTAGTCTACCCTTCCATTCATCTTTTGGAGAGGTTTTTCGCTATAGGGCGTGTGCGCTCGCAGGACAGACAGAGAGAGACATAGAGACAGAAAGCGAGAAATCACCCCCCAGGGGGGATGGTCATGCCGCAATCCCTTCTTCTCCATTCTCCTCTCGAGATCTTGGGCACACATGCACAAGTGCTCGGCATGAGTTTTAAGCCACTGGGTCCGGGACGCAAACCACGGTCAACTACATGGGAGTCCAACGCCATAGCCATTACACTAACTGCTGGTTCCTGCTTCCATTCATCTTTCATCTCATACTCTACTACTACAAAGTCTACAGCTTCCTCTTATCCCTTCTGCCAAGATCCTAGAAATATTAAACTAGCGCTGTGACCAGTTCTCTCAGGAATTGTACCACTCACAGAATGGATCAAGGACCAGCATAATCGTCAGTGTCATTGGGACTGAGAAGTTGATAGAAATGCAAATAGAAATGCATCAGATGATCTATATGCACAATAAAACTTAAGAACTCCAGATAACTGGGTTTCAAACTTTTTGTGATGTAACCCTCAGAGAAAAATACATTGTATGTTGCATCTCCAGTACACCCATAAATATCTATATATAAATGAAATATAATGAAACAAAGCAGTGCTATGGGTGTTGAAGCATTTTGATTTTTTTTTTTAGTTTGTGCTGGAAAAGTCAGTAAGAACAAAGATTTCATATTTTAAAAAAAGGAAAAACTTGGGAACAGCATGTGGTGTGATGGTTGAAGCACCGGATCCCCACATAGTCAGCCACAGTTTGAGTCTCAAACCTGACTACTTGAAAGTCAAGCTGGGTGCATGTGTGTGTGCCCAAGATCCCAGGGGAAGAATGGAGAAGAATTGCAGCATGGCCATCCACCTCTGCAGTGTGGGGGTAACGTGATTTCTCACTCAAAAATTTTTCTCTCCTGTGAGCTCATGCACCCTATGGCAAAAACCTAAATAAACAAAATTTTTCCTTTGAAAAACTCCTATGTGTTTGGGGAGTGTACAAGAAACAAAATCAGCAAAACATTGATAATTGATGAGGCTGTGTGGTGAGTACTTGGGAGAGGGGGATCATTATACTATTCATTCTATTTAAAGGTATGTTTAATAATTTTTATTATAAAAAGCTGAAAACACAAGGATGCCACCACAATAGGTTCCATTCTCCGTGCATCTGAGAAATTGTGCAGCATTCATTCCCTCCCTCCTGAACAGAGTTCTTCCCAGTATTTCAGACACCATTATAAATACATCCAGGACTTCTCTTTTTTTTTTTAATAACTCATCCATAGGCCCAGCTTTCCTTCCTTTCATTGCTAATGTTGTGAGCATCTAATTGACACTTCCTACCTGCATTCCCTTACTGTCCTGTCCTCCAGAGCTCAGTCTGCTCTCACTACTCCATTAATTATACTCTATAATGCCATCTTCAGGACAAGAAGGTAAGCCTTGGGAGCCAGAGAGAATATATCTCCAGTTTAGTAGGTTCAACCTAGGTTTCTCTTCAGTTTCTTTCTTTCTCTCTTTCTTTCTTTCTTTCTTTCTTTCTTTTTTTTTTTTTTTAGAGAGAGATTTTTTCCTACAAGGCATGTGTGCTCACTGGAGAGACAGAGAGAAACAGAAAGCGAGAGATCCATGCTGCTGTCCCTTCTCCTCCTTTCTCCTCTAGGGATCTTGGGCACGCATGCACACACACCTGGCATGAAGTTTTTGTTTTTTGAAAGAATGAACTTTATTTATTTATTTATTTTAATTTTATCAAAGAGGGACAGAGCGAGCAAGAGAGAAAGTGATAAAGCAAGCCGTGGAAGGCCATGTGGGAGTCCAGTACCCTTTACCACCATGCCAGCTGCTGGTCCCCTGGCATGAGTTTTTAGCCACCAGGTCTGGGATTCGAACAGTGGTCAACTATGTGGGAGTCCAGCAACATAACCATTATGCCATCTGCTGGTCCCTAGTCTTTTCTTTTTCCTCAGGTGTTTTGGAGCCATACGAGGTTTGTAGTTAAGGCTCGTTGTTTCCACTTGTCATAGTCTTTGTAAGGCCATTACAGTTGTGCACATGTTTTGAAAGATACTTAATATAACTAGTGCCAGTATACTCCATTGTCAAACATTTATAAAACCCTGCCAACCTTTCATAATATTTTTTCTTAGATTTTTTTCCATAAAACACATATGCTCCCCAGAGAGAGGCATGCAGAGAGCCAAAGTGAGAAATCCCCCAGGTGGATGCCACATCACAGTCCCTTCTCCTCCATTCTCTTTTCAGGATTTTGGGCATACACATACACGTACCCAGCATGCTTCTCAAGCCACCAGGTTCAGGACAATGGAGTCGGCTATGTGGAATCTAGCGCCTTGATCACCACACCCCCTACTAACGCCCTTTTCGTTATTTGTTTTCAACAACTATGTATTTATTTAATTCCACTTGTTACTTTTTTTATTTTTTTAAATTTGACCAGAGAGAGACAGAGAAAGAGAAAGGGAAAGGGAAAAAGCAAGCTGCCAGGTCTGGGACTTGAACCGTGGTTGGCCATATGGGATATCCAGCGCCTTTAACAACCACGCCACCTGCTGGCCCCCCTTTTCATCATTTTAAGAACCCCTGTTTTATCCTGGTATGTACAACATCACATACATATTCACTTCCCTGGCTTTCTATCTCTTCTACGATGGGCCTTTTCCTTTTTGGAGGCCTTTGTGATTAATCCAGTCATTGGCTCTTCCCCCAACACCTGAAGCCCCCAACTCTGTTTGCTTACTCATGCTGATTCTCATACCTAACATGTCCCCTTCCCCATTTTCCCAAGCCTCTTCAGTCCCTTCCTTCCTAACTGGTACCCTGTCACTTCCACCAATCCTGGTCTGTCCTACACCTTTGAGTCCTAATAGGTATTATGATAGGACTCTGCTGTCCTGTTATGTTTATATTCTTTCACATGTCACTTCCTCCATCATTGTTTTCAGACAGCTTTGTATATCTTATCTTCCCAAATGGACTTTAAGCTTTTTAAGGGTAGGATCCATACCTATGTATGAGAGAGAAAAAGAAAGCTACCTCTGAGTATGAGTTTACCACATATGGGTTATTAACCATATTAAGAGGTATACGAGGTAAAGTTACCCCTTTGAGATCTTTTAGATTGGAAATTGTTTAGAAATATTTACTAGACCTATCATAGCTCTAACGGGGGACAAAAGTAATAGAAGTAAGAGCAATCATGTCTCTATTTACTGGCAGTTGCTATATGGTAGGCCCTGTGCTAAATGCTTTACTTACGTCATCTCAGGTAATCCCGCCTCGTATATACCACGATCCTCACTTTACACTAGAAGAATTAAGTCTCACAGACAAAGGTCTCCCCCCAGAGCGTGCAAGTAGCAGAGCCCAGGTTTTATCTTAGGTCTTTCCATGTCTAAAACTTCTAACCATTATGTGGTTCTGCAAATCAAGATTGAAAAGATTCACTGCATTATCTCCAACCGAGTGGATCTTCTTTTCTTGTAAACTGAGAGCAGTGTCGCCACAGCTTCCAATTCTTGTGTTTTTAATGTGAAGAGACTTCAAAAAGTTCAAGGAGATGGAATTAACGTACCAGTTTATTTTCCTGCAAAAACATTTTGAAGTCTGTAGTTTTTTCGTAATACGCATTTTCTATGAACTTTTCTTTTTTAACTTTTGCTATAGAGTGTATGCACTTGCTGGAGAGAGACAGAGAGAGAAGGGAGGAAAGTGGAAAAGCATTCACCAGGAGAGATGGCCACACCACAGATCTTTTTTTCTCCATTCTCTCTCAAGATTTTGAGCATGCACACCTATGCTCCCAGTGTGTTTTTCAAGCCACTGGGCCTGCAACTCAAACCATGTACTTAGCCATTGGGATCTAGCCACTTTAACTACCACAACATCAGGTGGCCTCCATGAACTTTTTGAAGACCCTTGTATATTGTGCCATTTCTTTCAGCAGCATTTCTTCAAAGCACTGGGAATTCTGTAGCTATTTCTTGGCAGCCTCTGATTCTGAGAACAGTCCTGCCTTCTGGAAAGCAGATGCTTGCTTGGTACGTGCCTTGCATCTTGCCCCACTTTCTGGTGAGAATCCAGCCCCTTCCTGGTGCCAAGAGGAAGTGTTTCCTTTTGGTGTTTGACTGTCCCAGGTTGATCACACACAAAGATAAGGACCAGAGATAGACTTTGATAACCCTGAAATGATTCTGTCACTAAGAGTGTTAGCTACTGTTCAGAGGACTATTTCTACTCCCCTGACCTCCCTTCACCAATTATATAGTACTGTGGTATGCCTTCTAACAACTGATTAAAGAGAGTTCAAGAGGAATAAAAGAGAGGCGAAGATGAGTCAAAGGAAAGAAATATTAAATATTCCTGAATCATGAGGGTCAATCATTATAGACAAATTCATATTCAATTCACGTTTTCCTGCCTGGAACCCTGCCAATTGGTTTGGGTATCTGTTTATATATATAAATATATATGAGTCATCTGTAGAATTAGTTATTTGGGCTAAGCTTCTGGGACAGTAGTTCTCAAACTTTTATATAACTAAGGATCACCCAGGGAATCAAAAGTTCCTATTCTTATGCTCCTACCCCTCAGAGATTCTATTTTAGAAAGGCTTGAGGGGGACCTGTGTTCCATGATATAGATGCTTTGTTTCCTGGACCATCTCCTGATGCTCACAACTCCAGGGGAGGTGAGCCAGTAATGGCAGCCACAGGAAGCGCCTCTCGGTGGCCCTTTGCAAGCCAGCCAGGTTCAGGATTCCCCTTCTCCCTGAGGAGAGACTTCTTACGATCCTAATCAGCCTGAATGATGGTAGCCATCCTATGCTTTCTTTCAGAAACCTATTTTAGAAACTTGGAAGAGAAATTAACCCAGAACAAGCTCCTCTTGCGGGAGGAGTTGAGAACTTTGCTTCATCTGTGTGAGTCCCGGGACGATGTGGAGCTGGCTAAAAACGTTATTTACAGGTAAGTCAGTTCCTTAGTATTCTGCCAGCCTTCCCCTCTTACTGTGTTCCTTTTCCCGAGCATCTCTCCCACTTCCAAGGTTTTAGCTAGCCCCTCTACACTGATGACTTCTGGCTCTCTTGTCCAGATGCCTACTTTGAACTTAGACATTTGTATTCATTCACTGAGCAGACACTTATGATGTACCTCCTCTGTACCTTCTGTAATTCATGTCCAAAGAAATCACCAGCCAATTCACTAGTTCCATTCACATATCCTCTAGCTCTTCAAGTTCAACAAATATATTCCTCTTGTGTTTCCTATCTTACCCACTAGTCACTCAGGACAGATATGGAGCCTCTTTCCCCTTATCTCATTTGCCATTCCTCCCTGATAGGATTTGAAATCCTGGCACTTCCACTCCCTTAGTATCCCTCATCTCTAGCTTTCTTCTCTCTGTCCCCATTACCAGAGTCTTAATTTGTACTTCATTGTCTCTCGCTTGGATGACTTCAGTGAACTCCTAACCATTCTCTCTCCTCCAGTCTTATACCTATTATCCCTTCTGATCCATTGTTAGAATTCCCTGTGTCATAGAGAACTGACATATAACCATAGCCTGCTGTTGGGAAACCCAGCGAAGGTTTTGCTTACCAGGGAACAGTATGACATCAAATTAACAGACTTCATTTCTGAAATTCATTTCTTCTTCATCATCATTCTTTAAAGATATATTCCTATACACAGACATGCATAGAGAGGAATATAAAATATTCACACACAGAACATTGAGATATCATATTACCAAAAGTTAACCGTGGTCTTTGGGAAGTCTTAGATTATTGTTAGTCTAAATGTGTTTCTTTCTGATTTCTCAAACATGTCTACAGTGGACACTATTAACTTTATGATAAGAAAATAATTATGTTATTTTTAAAAATAGGAAAAGATAAAATTACATGAAATTTATTGAAAATTTGAAAAGCACCAACGAAGTAGAAAGGAGAAATATATCTCAAGTTCTGCCATTTCAGTTGTCTGATGCTGACAGTGCCTCACCAGTACTTGACATTTTTAGCCTTATAATATAACTTACTAGCTTGAAACATGATTATATATTGTTTTCTCACTGTTCTGTGGGTCAGGTATTGAGGCCCATCTCCACTGGGTGGTTCCTCCTTGATGTCTCTGACGCCATCAGAATCCCTACTCCCCTACTGTCAGTTAGTAGGTGATCTGTGCTGAAGGCCCAAGAAGACTTCACTAACATTTCTGATGCCTCACTGCTCCTCCATGTGGCCCCTCCCTCTCTCACCATTCCTAGTCTAGCTCCAGTGGCACTACCCCACAGCACAGGTGGGAGCTGCCAGGTATGGTCAGGCTGCCCAGAATTGGCACAGTTTCTTTTAGTCAAGTCAAGTTGCCTGCCCAGACCAAAGTTAAGGGCAGGGGAAATGGATTGCCCTCGGCCTGAGTGGAGCAGCATGCACACTCTAGGTGGGAAGAAATTGATGGTGGCCATTTTTGGGCCACCAAAGAAACTACTATTAATATTTTTGTATTTTTGTTACAGATTTTTTTTTCCATGGAAAGATTTTGTGGCTTTGGTAGGTTAATTTTACATAGTTATGAGTATTACTGTATACAGGCATTGCATCACTTACTGATGGGGATGAGTCCTGAGAAATGCCACTTTCAGGTGATTTCATCATTGCACAAAACATTTTAAGTTTACTTACACAAACCTGGAGTGTGTAGCCTACTACACACTGAGGCGATATGGTATAATCCTATAAGATCACTATTGTGTAAATGGTATGTTGCTGTCCAAAACATCAGTATGACTGTATATAAGGATATTATTTTCTAAATTAATATTATAGCATAGATATTTTACCTATTAATCATATTTTAATTATAATACAATATTCATTGGGATTGTTTTTATTTATCAATCATGGGATTGATTTTATTTATTTTTGTATTTAAGTTTGCTCTGTCAAAGACAGAAAAGGGAAGAGAGAGAAAGAGGGAAAGCACCCCGTAGAGGGATGACCATGCCACAATCCCTTCTCACTCCATTCTATTCTTTTTTTTTTTTGGAGAGGTTTTCGCTATAGGGTGTGTGCGCTCACCAGACAGACAGATAGAGACAGAGAGACAGAAAGCGAGATATCACCCCCCCAGGGGGGATGGTCACGCTGTAATCCCTTCTCCTCCATTCTCCTCTCGGGATCTTGGGCACGCACGCACACGCACCTGGTGTGAGTTTTAAGCCACTGGGTCCGGGATGCGAACCGCAGTCGACTACGTTGGGAGTCCAGCGACATAGCCATTATGCTAACTGCTGGTTCCCACTCCATTCTACTCTTGGGATTTTAGACATGCACTCATATGTGCCCAGCATTATTTCCAATCCATAGATTCTGGAACTCAAACTGTACAGTCAGCTTTGTCAGATCCAGCCACCTTAACCACCTTGACACCAGGCTGGCCTTATTTATTTATTTTTAAGTTTATTTATTTACTTCCTCTTATGAGTGAGCGAGTGGGAGGGACTGAGAGAAAGAGAGTGCACGTGCACACCTAATAAGGTCTTACTTTTTAAAAAAATATTTTGCCAGTGGGCATGTGGACTTTCTAGAGAGGCATGGGAGAAGAATGGAAAATGAGAAAGCACCCCTCTTGTCCCATGGGGAATTGCCATGCTGTTAATCCATTCTCCTCTGTTCTTCTTTCTGGATTTTGGGTATGCACACACATGCGCCTGACAAGTTTTTCTTTGAGAGGTTTTTCACTATAGGGTGCGTGTGCTTGCCAGACAGACAGAGACATAGAGACAGAAAGCGAGAAATCACCCCCCAGGGGGGATGGTCACGCCGCAATCCCTTCTCCTCCATTCTCCTCTCGGGATCTTGGGCACTCACACACACGCGCCAGGCGTGAGTTTTAAGCCACCGGGTCTGGGACGCAAACCGCAGTCGACTACTTGGGAGTCCAGCGACATAGCCATTACTCTAGCTTCTGGTTCCCTTTTTTTTTTTTTTTTCCTTTTCCGCGCCGGACAAGTTTTTCAAGTTGTGGGTGCTGGGACTCAAACCACATAGTTGGCTATGTGGGTTCCAGCCACCTTAACCACTACAGCACTGGCTGGCCCTGCAGTGGGGTCTTGATGCTGCAATCCAATCCCAGTCTAAGTCAGCCCCATTATCTAATGCCAGCCTTTGCGAACCCCATGTGATGGCCACACATGTCCAGCATACTCAGGGAGGATGCAAACCCAGAACCTTCCCATGTGAATAAGTTACTGCATCACCCTTGGCACCTGTTTGGTATTTTAAATAACTGCGCCCCTATTGTTGTTAACTTCTCACCATTATAAATAATGCATAATGAACAACTCTGCATAAAACTTATTTTTTGTTGTTTTCTTTTAGGGATTAGAGGGCATGAAGGTTTTAGACTTTGTTGATATAAACCATCAGATTGTTTTCCAAAAGGATTATGTTAATTTACAATCCCACTTTATCAGCAAACCTAATTCTACATGTCAGTTTCACCTGGTGAAATAATTTGAAACCCTCTGACCCTTTTTCATCTCTCTCTTCTTACTAATACCTAAAGCTGTCAAGATGTTTAAAGACTAGCAAAACAGGATAAAAATTCTGAGCAATCATCCTACTCTGATTTTTATCATGAACATTCAAATTATGACTCATAATTCTTTTGTCGATGTTAATAACTCGCTACCCAGTTGCTGTCCTTTCCCTCTATGTGTGGACAGCTGGACAGTAGGAAGATGATGGGTCCTTGGCCTAATCCAGCCTCTTCTCCCTCTTTCTGAGGCAGGCAGCCATAGCTGTGAAGCAGGAGTCATGGGTTCAAACATAAGCTGTTTCTTGAGCCAAAAATGGGAGCAACTTAATCCCCTCATAATCTTGAACAAGTACAGTTAAGAGAGGGATTTTGAATCCTCTTAATTGAGCATTTCTTTTCAAGAAGGTGATTTATTATCTCATTGACTTCTTAGTGCTTTTATTAGCATAATGTCATTTTGAATGAATGTCAAATCAGGAAGGATTTTATTTTTACTTTCTACTGTTTTTTATCTGCACAAGTTTCTCATGAGACTATGTGCTGAAATATGCCGATTTTAAAGATGTTTTCCTTATACTTTTCTTAAGTAGATATTTTTTAAATTTATTTATTTGCATTCACTATATATCATTATAGCAAACAAAATGAGATTTCCCATCCAGAATACACTGTAAATTGGCTCAATCAAGCACATCAACATACATGTTATCATCAACAAATATTTTTCCATTTCTTTCCTATATGTTTTGCTATTTTTGCCTTCCTTGATTCCCTATCTCTAACCCTCTGCAATGTCTCACCCTCCTCACACACTGTCTCTGGTATCCATGGTTGCTTTCTATGCCTTTTCCTCCCATTGTATTTATTTGCTAATGAACTTAATTAATCTAAATACTTTCAATAGCAAGCACAGCTGATATATACATATCCATGAACGCAAATCTGACTTTAGGCATAAACCTCAGTGAGTAGAATGAACATACTATAAAATAGAACCTAGCTGAGAATATATAGTTTGCTGAAGTCATCAAATATGCATTTTTTTTAATTTCAAGAAAAATAGTTTTCGTGTTTTTTTCTTCTGAAACTTTTTTTTAAATTAATTTACATTCATCCCCTAATCATCATCACAGCATACAAAAAGTGGTTTCCATCCAGAATATGCTGCATAGTGGCTTAATCATGTATGTTATCATCAATAATTTTCCATTTCTAGTTTCATGTGTGTGTATATACACACACATATATATATTTATATATATATTTACCCCTATGTCTGACCCTCTGCCCCTTCTTACCATCTTCTCACACTGTCTCTGGTGTCTACAGTCTACAATTATCTTCCATTCCTTTCCCCCCCACATTTTATTGATCCCACAATTTCTTAAATAATCTAACTACTTTCTTTTTTTATATATAATTTTTTTTGAGAGGTTTTTCACTATAGGGCGCATGTGCTCGCCAGACACACAGAGAGAGAAATAGAGACAGAAAACGAGAAATCACTTCCCGGGGGGATGGTCACACCGCAATCCCTTCTCCATTCTCCTCTCGGGATCTTGGGCATGCACACACATGCGCCTGGCGTGAGTTTTAAGCCACCAGATCTGGGATGCAAACCACAGTCGACTACGTGGGAATCCAGTGACATAGCCATTATGCTAACTGCTGGTTCCCTATAATTTTTTTTTTTTTTTTGAGAGGTTTTTGCCATAGAGCGTGAGCGCTTGCCAGAAAGAGAAATAAAGAGATAGAAAGCGAGAAATCACTCCAACTGCTGGTCTCATAATCTAACTACCTTCAATAGCAAGTTCAGCTGGTAATTTCAAGAAAAGCAGTTTTGAATTGGTAAAAAAAAATTTGCTTAAAGCTTAAAGCCTGGAAACAGGTTAGTATTCCATTCAAATAATATGCACATGGACCTATTGACAGCTCAAGACAGGACAAAAACTCTTAAAACCAGAGAACGAAGCCTAGAAGAAAAGCAACAATATTTTAGTCAAAAGTCATAGAATGCTATTTCACCAGTTCAGTCTCATGTACTTAATCTATCTTCTGTTGTGGTTCAATCTTCCCAATTGAATTCTGGGATATAATATTCAACTCCAGACTTGTCCCTATGATTAAGTTGGCCATTTTCTTAGTTTTTTGTTTGTTTGTTTGTTCATTTGTTTGTTTGTTTGTTTGTTTTGAGAGGTTTTTGCTACAGGGCACATGCACTCGCCAGAGGACAGAGAGAGACAGTGAGAAATCACTCCCCCAGGGGGCATGGCCACACCACAGTCCTTTCTCTTCCATTCTCCTCTTGAGATCTTGGGCATGCACACACACACGCCCGACATGACTTTAAGCCACTGGGTCCAGGACTCGAACCATGGTCAACTACGTGGGAGTACAGCAATATAGCCATTACACTAACTGCTGGTCCCGCCATTTTCTTAGTTTTTGAACTCTTTCTGTGTGACTATATTTAATTTTCCTGACATAGCACTCTTTTGAGAACTTCTTGGAGATCTGGTCTGGTGCTGGTAAATTCTTTCAGGTTTTGTTTATCTGAGAATGTTCTTGTCTTTTCTTCCCATATGAAGGATAATTTTGCTGAGTACAGTATTCTCCGTTGAAATCGCTTTTCCCTTAACACTTTGAATATATTTTCCCATTCTTTCCTTGCTCACATTGTTTCTGATGAGAGGTCTGCTGTTAGTCTGATGGGATATCTTTTGTAGGTAAGTTGACATTTCTTTCTTGCCAATTTTAGTATCTTGTCTTTGTCTATGGTTTTGGTCAGTCTGGCTATAATGTGTCCTGGAGAAGATCTTCTTGGGTTGATTCTATTTGGGGTCCTTTGTATTCCTTGGGACTGGATATTCGAGTGCCTCTCTAGATTTGGAAAGTTTTCTTGCAGGATTTCATGGGATAGATCATCAATGCCCTTATTAGTCTCTTCGCCTTCTGGGATGCCAGTTATCCGGATATTTGGACGTTTAATGGTATCTAGTATTTCTTGTATGTTATCCTCAAATTTTGGGGTAATTTTCTCAGTCTTCTTGGTGTATTTTTCTAGGCCAGCAATTTTGTCTTCTATGTCTGAGATTCTATTTTCTGTATGATTTAGTCTGCTTTTAATACTTTCAAGAGAGATTTTGACTTCCTGTATCATAGTCTTCATCTCTAACAGTTCCATTTGATTCTCTTGTGTAATTCCTCTTTTAGATCTTGCAAGAATTTCCTCACCTCCCAGAACTCATCAGCTCCTTTCTCCTTATTCTACTGCAGTTCATTGCCTCTCTTCTCTTCCATCTCTTTTAGCTTCGCCATTATGAATGTTCTAAATTCTTTGTCAGACATTTCCATGATTTCCATTGAACTGTCTGTGGATGAAGAAGAATTATTGTTTTCCCTTGTAGGAGAGGTATTTTCTTGCTTTCCCTTATTTCTTGTGGTCCTGTGGTGATTTCTAGTTATCTGATGGAAAGTCTGTTTCTTCCCAAACTTGAAGTTCAATCTGAACGTCCAGGAGCATGCAGAAAAAGAAAGAGAGAGAGAGAGAGAACAGCAACAAAAACAACCAAGAAACAGAGAAAAAGAGAAGAAAAAAAGTAAAAAAAAAAAAACTAAACAAAAAAAAATTTTTTTTAAGAAAGCAAAAATTAGAAATCACTAGTCCTTAGGAGCCATGAAGGTGTCTTCTGAGGCCTGCTTCCTTGCCTCTCCTGGGTTGGGAGGAGAGAGGATTATTAACAAGATAAAGGGAGAGGATGGGCTGAAAACCCAGAAAATACTTTACCTTAAAATATTTTTAAAAGGAAAAATTACAAAAAAAAAAAAAAAAAGAGAAGACAGAGGCAGAGGCCGAGAGAAGGCTTGAGGGTCTTCCTACTAACAGATTTGTGGTCTGGAGACTGAATTATCAGTAGAAAATCTTCATTTCTTTATTCCCTAAAATCACTAGTTCTCAGGAGCCATGAAGATGTCTTCTATACTTTAGAAGAACCAATCTGTATTGAAGACTTGTTGTGTGCCAGACACATCATGTCATTTAATCTTCACAGAAACTCTGAGTTAGGTTCTCGTCTTCTCTTCATTTTCAGGTGAGGAAACTGAGGCACAGAATGGTTAGTTCATTTGCTCATAGTTACACAGTTTATAGGTAGAAGAGGTAAAATTTGAACCATCTGTCTGGAAGTAGACTAGGAACTCTTAATTGCTATAGGACCTTGCCTTTTAATAACTATTCATAACTGTTATAAAGAAGCAGTGAATATTATTTGTAACTTTTATGATTGGATTATGAAATTAAAAATACACATCATCATTCTATTGGGCAGTATATATGTTTAGAATAGACTGGTCATAATGCTACCATGACTTTCCTCAGTGTTTTTGGTAGAAGGTAAAAAGCATTATTTTTTAAAGTCAGAGTTTTTTCCTTATAATATTTTAGACTCATTCACATCATGAAATTCCTAAAATCTGATTTTCATGAGATGCTTCTTTTATAACCAGATCCTCTCCTTGGTGTCAAAAGCAGAAAGAGTTGGTTATTAAAAGCAAGTGGTCATGGGCCAGTGGTGGTGTGGCCTGGATTTCACAGGGCCATCTACGAAATTCAAGTCCTGAACCCAATGACTTGAGAAACATGCTAGGTGTGTGAGTGTATGTATGTCCAAAATCTATAAGGAGAAATGGAGGAGAAGAGATTACAGTGTGAACATCACCCATGGGGGAGGGGGGTGCTTTCTCACTTTTCTTCTCTCTCTCTCTCTCTGTCAAGTAAGTGCATGCACCCTCTAGAAAGTTATCTTTTTAAAAGAAAGGTAAATGCTAGTGATTTATATTTCCATTGTTACAACTGGCAGACTGGCTACTTTGGTAGTGATCTCAAGTCACAAAGAAGATCTCTCTCCTTGAAATTAGCCTTTATTCTAAAACTTAGAATTTCAAAACTGCATTTAACTTGTTGAGCTAGGTGAGTGTAGCTCACATATGCCTTTCTCTAAGCTTAGAGAAGTACAGCAGGTGCTATAAATGGTAACGTCTGTTGGAGTCTACCATCCTATATGAGGATAAAGCCTACATTGAGAAACATGGAGCAACAATCCCACTCCTTTCCTTTGTTCTCCTCTAGGTGGCGCCCCTTCTGCTACACTTACAGAGGTGAGACCAGTGCTGTCCCTAAAGGATACTCACACTCGGTTCCAGCGGGCTGTTGCTAAATTTAGAGAATGATTCCAATGCATATTTCCTGTGTTTTATTTCAGAGTTTGCTTCTAACAAACACCCATTTGTTGAAATATCTGGAATATTTCTGCAGTCTAGAGTTCCTCTGTCTTCAAATCTCCACTCCTCCCCCTTCAGACGATGATTCTATCTCATTCTTTAGTACATCCCCAACACTGAGCAGGTTGCATGCTCAGTCACTGCCTGTCCTTTTACCTGTGTTCTGCCTTTTGGCTCATTGAATCACTTTGATTACAAGGTACCATGCAGAGAACCGAAATGCCACTTTGGAAGACTTTAAGTTTGGACCACTTTTCATGAGGCTGTGTTATGAATTGGATCTGGAGGAATCTGCGGTGGAGCTCGTCAAAGACCAGGTTATTGTTTCCTGATTGTTTTCTCTGCCAATGTGATTTTTTTTTTGTGCTGATCATGGAATGTTTTTGGTGATTTTAGAAAAGGCATCTCTTCGTGCTAAATTTTTCCTGGGTTAGATTTTCAGAGAAAGAAGCTGAGTTCAGTGAGTGAACTCTTCTTTGCGTTTGTAAATCTTTAATCAAATTGGAGTTGATAGGTATCAAGAGGTGTATGTCTCTATAGAGAGGTGTAGAACAGATGTAAAGGAGGTGTAGTTACAGATTACTGGGTATCTACCGACTTTGAATGTGTGTTGACCTGGGAGGTACATGCTTTCTTTGAGGAGCTTTCAGTGGAGGATAGTTTTTAAGATAGACTGCCATTCTTGTCCTTCATCTGCATCTTCTCCTGTTTTTATATATACTTTTCTGGTTGAAAATCATATTTATAAAATGCTTTTTCATTTTCAAACTGCTTTCACATATTCATTTTCGTTCCCTAAAAACAAAAGTAATTATTTTTGGAATTACTTATTGAATATTTACTGTGCACTCAACATTGTGCTTAAGCACTTTGCATATTTGTTTCATTTCATCTGTTTCTCACAGTAGTCCTGGTGAGGTAGACAGCTTTTTTTCCATTTTACTGATCAGAAAACTGCGATACTATTTTTTCCTAAACAAAAAATAGATAGACATTGGGAACCAGCAGTTAGCATAATGGCTATGTTGCTGGACTCCCACGTAGTTGACCATGGTTCATGTCCCGGACCCGGTGGCTTAAAACTCACGCTGGGCGCGTGTGCGTGCGCGCCCAAGACCCTGAGAGGAGAATGGAGGAGAAGGGATTGCGGCGTGACCACCCCCCCGGGGAGTGATTTCACGCTTTCTGTCTCTATGTCTCTCTCTGTCTGGCGAGCACACGCGCCCTATAGCGAAAACCTCTCCCAAAAAAACAAACAAAAATAGACATTTACATTTTTATATACATAGTAAAAATCTGGAAAGATATACACTAAACTACTGCTTATCTTCAGAAGATAAAATTATAAAAATATTCTCATTTTTCAGTTCATAGATTTGTATATTGTTTGACCATTTTTAAATAAATGTGTTAATGGTGCAATAAAAAGAAAACAAAAATGAGGCCAGCAAGTGCTGTAGTAGCTAAGGTGCTAAACTCCCACATGACCAACTACAGTTCGAGCCCCAGACCCAGCTATTTGAAAATCATTCCAGGTGGGTGTGGACATGTTCAAAATCCTGAGAGGAGAATGGAGGAGAAGGGATTACTGCATGGCCATTTCCCCTACAGTGTGATTTCTCACTTTCCCACTCTTTGTCTCTCTGTCTCTCTCTCTCTCTGTCTCTCTCTCTAGTGAGCACATGCACCCTGTGGCAAAAACTAAGAAAGAAAAGAAAAGTTTCATGATACTACATTTTATCCTTGAGTATGGTGTTTAAAATAAAGAAAAACTAAAAAGAAAGAAAATTTAAACATTTTCCTAATCTTCATAAATGAAAAATTTATGAATAAGTAAGTTTCCTAGAGTAGTCAGGTGAACTGAATTGGTAAGTGACATAAGCCATAGTCCTGTTGAACCTTAACTTCTTATGTTCCCTTCTCAAAATCCGCTAGTGCTGCCAGTACTGTAGCCACTAGTCACTTGCATATGTTTTAGTTAATTGCCAAGAGTAGATTTTAAGAAGTATATGAAGTAATGCATATGTTAATTAGCTCAACTTAAGTATAAACATATTTTAGAACAGCACGTACATGATATATACAATTTTTATTTGTCAAATAAATAAATAAATAAATATGGAAGAGAAAAGTTTAAGAAAAAATACCAAAATCACTGTTTCAGAGAATTATTTCAAAAAGTGAGTAATCAAGTAGCCATTATCTATTCACTGACAGAGGACCATAGTTATGTGAGGCTCTCTTGCTTAGTCCTCAAGTACATTTATTTATTTTTTTTTTAAGAGAGATTTTTGCCATAGGGCATATGCGCTCACTAGAGAGACAGAGAGAGACAGGGAGAGAGAAAGCAAGAAATCACCTCCAGTGGGGATGACCACACCACAGTCCCCTCTCCTCCATTCTTCTTTTGGGATTTTGGGCATGCAGGCACACGTGCCTGGTGTGCGTTTTAAGTCGCTGGGTCTGGGACTCAAACCGAGGTCAACTATGTGGGAGTCCAGCGAAGTAACCATCACACCATCTGCTGGTCCCACTCAAGCATATGTATTGATGCTATTTCATGTTAATAATGGGTATCTAGGTCCCAGGACCACCATGCCAAGACTGTTCAGCTTGTTTCTTTTCTTCTAAGTATAGAAGAGCCATATTTCATAGGCATTCTTCACAGTGTTTATGAAACCCAGAGATCTCTTGCCTCTGTTCAGTGCATCACAGCCAAGAGAGTGGACCACATTTTCACATTCTTTCAAAAACTAATCCTTGGCATATCAGATTTTTTAAAGAATTCAGAAGGTCAAATGCATAAAATATGCAGAAAATTAAGTCCTGGATAGATAAGATAAAGTAGTAGGGTCCCTTCACAATTTTAACTTTCAGCCAATCTGTACTGTTTTTCTTCCTTAGCACTTACGAGGTTTCTTCTCAGATTCCACATCATTCAATATCTTGATGGATATGTTATTTGTCAAAGGCAAATATAAAAGTAAGTACAACACTACGTATTTACTGAAAAATTTTGCTGTCTTTGCTGGTATAGATAGCACTGGGGCAAAATGGACCATGTGAAATGACTCTTCTATTCCTGAGAAGTAGCTTCATTATGGAGACTGAGTTCATTGTCTCGCATGTCATGCTAAAACTAAACATCTCAGACTTTACTTATACTAAAATTATAGCAGGTTTTACAGTATTGGTTCTTCCCGCATGACCTGATTATGTTAACATTTAGCTCGTTGCTGAATGACTTAATAGCTTTTCCTGTGCAGAAATACTCTCTTCAGTAGATGGTGCTGAATAGATCAAAGATTTGGGGGCCCGCAGGAGAGGAACTCCCCCCTTACTATGATGCATTTAACATTGCCGCTTCACTTTTGGCAGGTGCCTTGGAAGTATTGATAGAGATGAAAAACCAAGATGTGAAGTTCATCCAAGATACTTATGTTCTTGCTTTTGCAATTTGCTACAAACTGGTAAGATTATTTCCCCTTAACTTTTAGAGCATTGTGGGTAGCATTTGAGAGAGGTTTTGGAAAAAAATATATATACTTTTTCCCTTTACAAATAAAATGCAGATCCTCTGAAGTCTGTTTTCCATCTGTTGCAAATATTTCAATTTTAAATGTATTCAATTTTAGAAAACTCAAGTAAGCCTTGTCAGACAGCTTTCTCATGGGAAAAACAATTTTTACATCTTTTATCCTGTCAGTTATGTAGATGGTGAGAACAAGAGATGGTATTTGGAGTTCAGGCTCTGCTTTAGAGCCATCTTCTATGCTGGACTCATTAAATCCATCTTCTGTGTTGGCGCCTCCTGTGGAAACCTTGCTATACCTTCAGTTGTAAACTCAGAGAATACTATTCTCGTCAGCGAGGTTTTCATGATCACTAAAGCTGGAAGTGACGTTTGTCTCCTTCAAGTACCCTTGTGCTCTGTTTCTGTCACACACCTAGTACTTCTGACATTGCCCGATGTTCTATGTGGTAGGTGCAGGTTCCATCCTCTTCACTGGAATGTGAGCTCCCTGAAGCTTCTTTGTATCTCAGCACCTAACACAGTGCCCAGTACCCATTTAATAAGCGTGACATTAAAATGAACTCACTGATAACAGAGACAATGACTTACAAGTCCTTATATTATTACTGTGCCAAGATTGTTTCTTACAGATACATCTTCAATATTTATTGAATAAATGAATAGTAACTAAAATAGTGAAGTAACCATGGTTCAGTGTATGACCATAGACATTCATGACATTTAAACTTTGGAAAACTGGGTCACAAAACCTTATTGTATGGAAAATGAAGGAACTCAAAGCAAGGTAGAAGGACATGGACTATTTAAAAAAACCCTTAAGGGTGTAGCAATACCAACTTTCCACAACAAGGAAGGCAGCTGGGCTCCAGTGGAAAGAACACCAAACTGGAAATTGGAAAACTTGGAGTCTAGTCTCAACTTTAGTATTAACTGACTTTATAGCTGTGAACTGATCACTTATCTCAATTCGAAAATGAGAGGGTCAGATTCAGGGGTGGCAAACTTTCTATAAAAGACTAGACAGGACGTATTTTAGGCTTAGAGGATACATACAACCTCTGCCACATGGTCTCTGTTGCATGTTCTTTTTTTAACAAGCCTTTAAAAATGTGAAAACATTTGTAGCTACAGGCTGGATTTGGCCTAAGGGCCATAGTTTGCTGACCCCTGGATTAGGCAATTTTTTTCCAGTCACGGAAATGATAATTCTATGATTCTATGAAATAGAAGGTCAGCAAAACACACAACACCAGGACATCTTTTATTTGATTGTGATTTCTAATCTCTGACCTTTTTAGGGATGCCTCCCTAAGTGTAGACTGAAGTGGTGAGAATTTAATTCTACTACTTGGGAAAAGCTGGAGGACTTTTCTCTCCTCTGTTGTGTCCATGAATAACTTTTTTCACTTGGTGGAGATGAGCTGAACATTGACCTGGTTATCCAATACCAATTCCAGCTCCATTCTGGGAACTGTTCTGTCTCATCAAATGCAGACTTCACTTTGAGAATTTGAGTTCTGAGTCAGGTCACAGACACACAGCTGATGCTGGATTGTAAACCTCATTCATTACCTCACAAAGCAGAGGATTTGGTTTTACCTTTGTTGTCTTGCTGGTTGTGTACTACTTATATTCTTAGATTTTTTTTGTTTTGAAGTTTTTTGCTTTAGGATGTGTACACTCACCAGAGCGAGACAGACAGAGAGAAAAACAGTGAAAGGGGAAAGTGAGAAATTAGCCCCCATTGGGTAGTGACATGGCCGTAGTCACTTCTCCGTTCTCCTTCAAGGATTTTGGGCATGCATGCACACATGCCTATGGTGTGATTTTCAAGCCACTCAGTTTGGGACTCGCACTGTGGTCAGCTGTGTGGGAGTCCAGCAACAAAACCATTATACCATCTGCTGGCCCCTTGGATTTTTTTTTTAAGGTTTCTGCTTTCTTGGGATTTTTAAATCATTTATGTTCAAATTAGTGTTTGTGTTTTCAAACATTTGACAAGTGTAAATATTTTCAGATTGGAAATCCCCCCAGGAAAACTTATTGCATGGTGTTGTTGAGCCTTGTCCTATTATTTAATAGAATAACAGGCTGCCTTGATCCTTGTACATTATGGTCCTGTGTCATGAAACTAGCCAGTTCAGGTACAAAGAAACCTGTATATTTGCTGGTGAAAACCACCTCAACTCAGAAAACTGAAAAAGAACTTTAAGCTAATCACATTTTTGAGCTATTAACATAAAAATTATACGATCTATTTGCAAACACTCTCTTTATGGAGCTTTATCTTCTAAGTGAGATAGATTTGAGATAGACTCTGAGTAATTCTTACAGAAGGAAATCTGAAATACTGAGCACTATTAATAATGACATTCAACGAGCAATCCTGTCTTCTCATAGAATAGCCCTGAATCTTTGAAAATCTGTACTACATTAAGAGAAGAAGCTCTAATCAAAGGTGAAGTTCTTTCCAGGAGAGCATCCTGTTTTGCTGTGGCATTAGCTCTGAATCAGGTAAGGCTTCAGGATGCCCATGAGTAAATAGGAGTGGATGAGATTTCGTAACTTTTGTTTGTTCTTGATTTTATTTCAATTTTTCCCTTCTGAGAGTATCATAAAGAAAAAGTCCCCATAAAGTAACCAGTGCCTTGGTTGCCATGGCAGCCTACATCTGATACTTGTACCTGCACAAAGAGTGTTTTCATCTACAGCTGAGGACCTAACATACAGTTTTATTTAGAAGGGCTTGGCCAAGATCCTTTCGAGAATCAGAGAGGGAAGTTGCACTCAGGGAAATTCTTCAAGAAATTAAAATGAAAATTGTAAATGATCACTTTCTTGAGTAAGGTTCTCAGAGAGCGGTTAAATTTAATGCTCCCCCAAGCTGAATTTACCCCAGATGAATGAGAACTCCTAGATCAGCCCATTGTAGAAGGGGATTTCATCATATATTTTAGAGTTAGACCCACCTACTGTTATTTGGATGAGGTTTTACCCTCCCCTCCTGGAACTGGACATGGAGGCAGTTAAGGCTCCCTGAGGTCACACTTCATGTGAGGGCAGAGTTAGAACTGGAACCCTGGAAACTGCTCTCTCTTGAAGAGCTCCTCCTGTGAGATAATCCTATCCCAGGGGCCAAAACTGTAAAATAGTAAAAGGAAAATTTATGACAGTAATTAACCAAGTCAAGTCATTCACTGGGCTGGTAAAATATGGACAAAGAACATTGTTTATCATTAATTAGAAATCAAAATATCAGGGTGGTCCTTGTGCTCTTCTGCTGGGAAGAGTCATCAAAGAACAAAGACTTCAGAGGATACAAATTCACCAGGTTCTGCTGACCCATGGTCATTTCTTTACATTTCTAAGCTCCCCTCTCTGTCCAGGGGAATCATTTTGTCCACACAATCTGTCACAAGCTGAGATGAATTAAAGTCTCTGCAAAGGCTTTTGCCTCTTTCTTCCTGTCTCTCTTTTGGTAGCTCTGTTTTTTTTCTTATGTGTATGTAAATTATAATATTTGGTTCACAGACATATCATCATTGTTATACCATTCTTGTGAATCTTCTACCGTAGCATTGAAAGTGCCCTTCTTGGTGATGTTTAATGCTTTTACCCTGAATTCAGCCTTGTCTAATATTAATATCTTCACCCTGTTTTTGTTTGCCTCTGTTTTCATTTTCTCACATACACCTCTTCTTTTCCTTTTATTTGCAATCTTTCTGAATTGTTTTGTTCAGGTATGTCTCTCATGTACTACATAAATTTTAATTTGGATTTATAGTCTTCCTTTTAATATAATGCATTTATATTAATGTGCCATATATTTGATCTTAGGTCTCATGTGATGTTCTCTGTTTTTATAGCTTTTAAAATATCTTACTCCATATGGTTGTTTCTGTGGTTTGTATTTTTGCTCTCATGGTTACTTTTTAAAAAATTTTATTTTATTCTCATTTCTTTGATATTATCTATTAATTTCCTACTATAATTTTTCCCTCTTATTTTCCCCTCTTATTTTCCTCCTTCTTCACCCAATTTTAGTTTACATGTTATTTCACACAGTGTTCACTTTTCTCTTAACTATACTTAGTCAGCTTTTGTTATTTAATTGTTAGAGGGTGCATATGCTTGCCAGAGAGAGGAAAGGCAGTGAGAGAGAGAGAGGAAGAAAGCACCCCTGAAGGGGGCATAGTCACCCCACAGTCTCTCCTCCCCCATTTCTCTGTGGTATGTTGGAATATTAGGTATGTATGCACACACACCTGATGAGTTTTTTCCAAGATGTTGGGACTAGGATTTGAACCATATGGACACTCATGTGGGATCTATCTGCCTTAACTACTGGGCCATGGGACCTGCCCAATTTGTCAGGTTTAAATGATATTTTTTGAATTGCACTAATAAAGATTAGGAAATAAGTCTTCTTTCCCTACTCTTATCTTCTTTTTCACTTTTTTTCTTCCTAACTTTTGTTGGTATTATCATTTTTCCATTGTCAAGGTATTATAACATTTAGACTTTGCTGTAGCCATATTCTCCGCAATCTGTTTTATGTATATGTATATGTAGTTAGATATTGGGTCATTGGAAAAGTCATGCATATTTTTCTGTTTTTCTTTTTTTGGAGAGGTTTTTGCTATAGGGCGCGTGTGCCCGCCAGACAGACAGAGAGAGACAGAGAGACAGAAAGTGAGAAATCACGCCCCCCCACCATCAGGAGGGATGACCATGCTGCAGTCCCTTCTCTTCCATTCTCCTCTCGGGATCTTGGGCATGCACGCACACGCGCCCGGTGTGAGTTTAAGCCACCGGGTCCAGGACTTGAACCACGGTCGACTATGTGGGAGTCCAGAGACATAGCCATTACGCTAACTGCTGGCCCCATATTTTTCTGTTTTTCTATTAAAAATGTGTCATGGCTTTTCCCACAACCCAGTATTTCATTGTTTACTGCTAGTTGTTTTTTCAACCTTTTCCTTATCAGCTGGAGTAGATCTAGTAAATTATTGAAGGGAACAACGTTCCCTGTGTTCTTAAAATTTTCAATTATTTTGTAATATTTGCCTATTGTTTTTGTAGTTGTTTCTGTACAGTTTGACCACATTTAAAATTTTGAGGTAGTATTTGCTTTTCTTGAGGTTTTTTCTTTTCTTTCTCTTTCTTCTTCTTCTTCTTTTTGTTTCCCCCCAGGCCTTGCTTTTCTATCTTCTAGTATAGAATATTGCTGTGGTAAATCTGAGGCCTACCTGATTTCTTTTTCCACTTTAATGTGATCTCGTTCATTTTCTCATTGCTGTTATCTACACCCCTGGAAACTGTTTTCTGTTGGGGTCTCTTTATCTGCCAGTTATTTCCTTATTTTGTTTTACTGTGTTCCTTCCCTCCATTTCAAAAAAAAAAAAATACCATCTTCATGGAGTTCATATGCTGGTTCTTTAATGTTTGTCCATGATTGCAAACTGTAAGTTTCCTTTATACCAGCCATTTGCAGAAGGTTCATGTCAGAAAGAGAGAGATCTGGGACCAGCAGTTAGCGTAATGGCTATGTCGCTGGACTCCCACATAGTCGACTGTGGTTCGAGTCCTGGATCCGGTGGCTTAAAACTCACGCCAGGCACGTGTGCGTGCATGCCCAAGATCCCGAGAGGAGAATGGAGGAGAAGGGATTGCGGCATGGCCATCCCCCCTGGGGGGTGATTTCTCGCTTTCTGT